GCATTATTATGCTTAAAATCATGAGATAAAATGACATTATCAAATTTCTCATGCCATTGTTTTGGTGCTTGTTTTAAACCATAAAGTGACTTGACTAACTTGCAAACCTTTTTTTCATTTCAAAGTAGTACACACCCTTCGGGTTGTTCCATATATATTTCCTCATCAAGATCAACATTTAGAAAAGCCGTCTTAACATCCATTTGATGCACATGCAAATTGCATATTGATGCAATTGCAAATAGCACTCTTATGGATGTCAATCTAACTACCGGAGCATATGTATCGAAATAGTCTATACCACACTTTTGTTTAAAGCCCTTAGCTACTAATCTAACTTTGAATGTTAGTAGACCCATCAGTATTGTACTTTCTTCTAAACACCCATTTGTTGCTTATTGGTTTTGATCCCGGAGGAAGATCGACCAAGATTCAAGTTTGATTCGAGATAATCGAATCCATTTCATCATTTACGACCTCTCTCCAAAAGGAGGCATCCCTTGAAGACATAGTTTCATTAAATGTTTTTTAGATCTTCTTCTATATTAAGCAACAATGATATTTTATTAAGTACACAATTTCTATCTACTTCAACCAAAAGGTTAAAGCTTGAGATGAAATAAAATCCGGTGCTAAGTCATTTTCTTTTCTTTCACGTTGACTTCTTCTCGGTTCGAAAGATGTCATAGACTCTTTCCTTTTATTAGTGGAGGTACCGGGAATGTCAACATATGGTCGATTAACATTAGATTCTAATTTAATGGAACTAAACTTGTTCTCAATAAATTCAACGTCTTTTGATTCTACAATAACATTAGAATCTAGATTCAATAATCTATAAGCCTTGGAATTTTCAGCATAATCTACGAAAACACTTCTAATTCCTCTAGCTCCTAACTTTGATGATTTAGGGTCAATCATTCTATAAAATGCTAGACAACCCCACACCCTTAAATACATCAAATTTAGTTTTCTTCATTTCCATACTTCATATGGAGAGACATGTGTTTTCATAGATGTAATCCTATTGTGAATATGACATGCTGTAAGTAAAGCTTCCCCCCATAAATTATTAGGCAATTTAGCATTAAGAAGTATAGAGTTAATCATGTCAGTAAAGATTCTATTCTTTCTTTCAACCAATCTATTTTGTTGAGGAGTAAAAGGGGCTGACTTTTGGTGAATAATTTCATGCTCTTCACAGAAAGCATCAAATTCATTTGAGAAATATTCACCACCTCTATCACTTCGAACCATTTAATCTTCTTGTCTTTTTGGTTCTCAATTTCAGCCTTATAAATTTTAAATTTATCAAATGCTTCATCTTTTGTTCTAAGTAAATACACATAAGTGTATCTAGAACAATTATTAATGAAAGTGATAAAGTATCTCTTTCATCCTCTAGTCAAAATTCCATTATACTCACAAATATCGGTATGAATCATATCAATATTTGAGTATTACGTTCGGCTCTAGGAAAAGGTTTCTTAGTCATCTTTGCTTGTATACAAATTTCACACTTATCATTTTTAATATCTTTGCAATTAATCAAACCATGTTTAGACATATATTTCAAAGATCTAAAATTTAAATGTGCTAAACGTGCATGCCAAACATCAAAAGAATCAACAATATAAAGAGAATTCACATCATCTTTATTATTAACACTTAGTTTGTACATGCCATCACCACAAATATCGGTATGAATCATATCAATATTTGAGTATTACGTTCGGCTCTAGGAAAAGGTTTCTTAGTCATCTTTGCTTGTATACAAATTTCACACTTATCACTTTTAATATCTTTGCAATTAATCAAACCATATTTAGACATATATTTTAAAGATCTAAAATTTAAGTGTGCTAAACGTGCATGTCAAACATCAAAAGAATCAACAATATAAAGAGAATTCACATCATCTTTATTATTAATACTTAGTTTGTACATGCCATCACAAGAATATCCATTTCCCACAAAGATCTCATTCTTAGATACAATACAATTATTGCCCTCAAGTACAATCTTAAGCCCATTCTTACACATAAGACTAGCGGATACAAGATTTTTTCTAATATCAGGAACATGAAGAACATTGTTCAAAGTAAGCTTCTTTCCGGAAGCAAAGTTAATTTCCACCACTCCTCTCCCGGCAACCATCGCTGCATCATTATTCCCCATGAGAATCGTTTGTCATTCCTTTTCCACTTTGTAAGATAAGAATATAGTTTTGTCATTACAAACGTGGATTGTGGCACCGGAATCAAGCCACCAATCGGAGGATTTAGATGCAGCCATGTTAGTTTCGGTAATCATGCCAATTTACAATTCCGAGACCATAGCACAAATGTCTTCGGATCTCTCTTTAACGGCATTGGCATTGTTGGTGTTAACTTCTTCATTTTTCTTCTTGAATCTGCAGTCATTTTGGCGATGGCATTTCTTTCCACAAAAGAAACAATTTCCAGAAAATTTCTTTTGGCCATTACCGAGCTTTTTGAACTTCTTGTCATTATTGACTTTGAAATTCTTTGAAAACTTACTAGCTTCGGCAACATTAACTTTAGAGGAATCGACATTTTTGTTCTTGAAATCACGAGACTTAGTGTCTTCTTCGATTCTCAAGTGTTTTTGTAATTCCTCAAAAGTTATGTCATCTCTCCTATGAATGAGTTTCTTTCTATAACCATTCCAACTTTAAGACAATTTAGCAATAATTGCCCCCACTTGGAATGATTCAGAAATCTCAACTTTCAAGTCACGAAGCATAGTAACAATGACTTGCAATTCATGTATTTGATCTAGAACAGAATTGGTATCAACCATGACAAATTTTAGAAATTTCAAGATGAGAAATTTATCCGTACCTTCCTTCTCAATTTTGTATTTGTATTCGAGAGCGTTCCAAATCTCCACCGGAGACTCCATCGAGTTGTAAAGATCGTAGAGCCTATCGGAGAGAGTGTTGAGAATATGACCCCGGCACATGACTTCATCATCTCCACGCTTCTTCCTTGCGGTCTTCAATTCTTCGGAATCATCCTCCTTTGGTTCAGAAAGTGGCTCCAATTTCGGATCAAGCACATAGGCGATCTTAAGCACGGTGAGAAGGAAGAACAACTTTCCCTTCTAGCGGGTGAAGTTGATACCATCAAAACGATCAAGTTGAACATGATGATTGAGTAAAGACATCATATTCTTTTCAACCTCCATTGCAGCAAGTTTAAAACCTTAAAGATTGTAAGAAAAATTCAGATTTGGGAGGATGAAAAGAATATAAAAAGCAAGAAGAGGGTTTGAGGCGTATAGGAATACTTTCCTTTAAGGTTTTATTTGCCATCACTTCTCAAAGTTTGCTAATGAGGTTTAATGGCAAATTACCCTAAAGATACAACAAACCCTTGAACACAATATCCAGCAAAAATATTGAGTTCCAGAACAATAATAATATCTGTATTTTCTGAATGCATTAATTAAAGACAGGGATGCATCCATCCTCTTTAAACGTTACAACCTTTCACATAAAGATACCTTTTCCAATATCAAGGTTATCTTTTATATGCTGATGCACTTATAACAATAGTTATTTCTATTGTTAATAAGTACTCAGATATGTGAGAAAACATATCACAAATGGATGCAATGGTTCAAGACCTTTTCAAATCACTAAAACACACGAAAACACGTTTTCCGGTAGCAATTTGCGTTGCAGCGGATGACATTCACGCTGCAGTGCTCGGGCTTCACAAAACAGACCCGAGAGGTCTGTTTTGTGCAGGCTGCAGCAGCGCGTCTGTGCGCTGCAGCACACAGCAGCGTGCGCTGCAACGCTCGGGCATTACAAAACAGACCCGAGAGGTCTGTTTTGTGCGCGCCTGTTCTTCCCGAATGTGTTTTAGGCCAATTTTTTGTGATATCGAAATTGAGAGATATATTACAATTTCTCTAACAACTTATGGTTCTCATGCTATACTTTACCGAGTCATGAACCCGGATTGTGCCCCTTCCTTTTTTTGTATTTTTTGGAAAAGTTGCTTTTATTAGAACGCCAAATCGGCGTTGGCAAAGTGAGCAACAAACAGCGGAATAAAATCACTTCCCAAGACATCCAACTCAGCCTGGTACACAGAACAAGCGAGGATATGAGCAACATAATTCCCAGAACTCGCAACAAAACAGAACTTTCAGGCCAAATTACTAGAAAGAGAATGAAGAATGTCACTAATAATAACCCCTGCGTAACCTAATGAATCCTCAGAATTGACTGCTTGAACCACTCTGAATCGGCGCCTTCTGGGGTATCACTACCGAGTTCTAGCATTTTTGAAAATCACCTAGGATTCGCCCCGCCATCTCTAAAAGTTTTAAGTAGCCGATCTAGGAGATTTGTGGTGAATAAATTGATTTCTGTGTGACCAAATAGCCCACGCAATAACACAGAAAATCTCCAAATCCGACTTTGAGGCTACCCTTCTCCAATTCACACACAGCCCATCAAAACTCCCGGCGTTCATACGTTTCAGTTGCTGCCAGACTGCGCATGAGTCCCACCCTTGCCTAGCACCCTTAAACGACCGTAAAGCATGCCAAGTTGTGGGGCTCCCATTTTTGTAGTAAATAATTAACCTTTTTATAAATTAACCAAAATTAAGAGGAGCAGAATTCTAACAATGACACAAAACTAACTAAAGATGTGTACGAAAAGAACACATTTACTAATTTTTGAAACTAATATTTATTACGTATACCAAGGTCTGTGAAGGAACTTGGATTTACTTTTAGATCCTTCAACTTTTATAAGCACTATAGAATGTAATTTCGCATAATTGTTCATCCAGACTGCCCCCTCTGATCCTGCCTCTACCCGAGTTGGATAAAAGGCTACCGCCTAACCCAACCTGAGCTGGGAATTCGGATGAACAGAACTGCTTGTCTATATTGTAGTTTTCTCACAACTATAACGTCTGTCAAATTTAGCCTTTATCAGCTGCTAACAGAAAACAAGTTCTAGAATTGGGACACAATGCAGCATCGGAGCTGCACGCTTCTAAACCCGAGTCCTATCCCATGTCATTTGCTCTCAAGTGATATTGGTCTTTGAACTTCTAATTTTTATAATGTGTATATGTATTAATCTTTCTTCTTAGCCCTCATCTATAGCGCATGGTATTGAGAGGATTCCACTAGGAGATTCATGACCACTTTGAATCATAAAAAGTTAAAAACTAATACTACATTACTATATTATGACACAATCTGTACATTAACTAACTTCTTTCAAGTTTCATCCTACACATATTTCAACTACAACAGCCCAAAAAAGTAGAGTTCTAGGCAGATGATAAACATACCCACTTTCGACAGCTAATCTATCTACAGCTTTCTAGGTGTAGGTGGTTTCTGTTCTGTCCGTATCGCTATAGCATCTCATAACCCTTGTGTCAAAGCGCCTCGGCAAAACGTAACTCTGCAGGGCCAGGACCCAAAATCCCCTTTTGTTCACTTATGTTGCCAAGCCCAGCAGGTGGTGCCGGCAGGGTGCCCAGTGTCGGCAGGGTGGGTGGTGCAGCTTGCTCTGTATGTCCGGCCATTTCATCGTCTTTCCAGCCCGTGGCTTGCCACTCCCTCTGCAAACAGCAAAAGCAAGTTAAGAAAGAAGACTTGAGTAAATAACTGAAAAACAACATATCCAAATCATGTAAAAACATTTCTGAAATGGAAGAACTATGATATGGGGCACGTTCCCTGGGATGTTTTCCTTCCAGCCTATTCACGTGTTTACTTACAAGATGTGTGATGAGGCCCATGTAGGGAATGAGAAAACAGAAAGCCAATCCTTAGTTATCTCATGTATTGTCTCCCTTTCAATTAAAATATACCAGAATTACTTTTTTAGCCTTGCTAGATTTTGACTAATCACTATATGATAAGTAGATTTTTTAAAATTATTAGGATTTATATTTCTAATGTTAGTAAACACGAGAAGTGAATTGGATTGTTCTTTTTATTTCCTTTCCAACACTTTTCCCTTTCCAAGGACATTCCATAAGTCAGTAAACATGCCCATAATAGAAAAAGAAAATAAAATTTTCATTATAATTATCAGACCGAGTATTTCAAATTTCTTCACTTGGTTTAAGCAGGCAAGTTGTTTAGGTGTTTTTGCACTGAACGAGACACAATATTCAGACTTTCTGGCTTACTACACAAGTACTTGCCTCATCGTGGTTGAAACTTCCATCTTGCAAATACGGTGTCATAAGGGGTGGACCAAAATCTGGATCAGGCTTCTGAAATATAAATGTGGTATACAGACCTGCACGGAGGAAAGAGCCAAAAGAAATTATCTAATTAGTAACTGCTAATTGGATGAAAAATGCCACCATTATAGAAACCAAAAGCAACAAATGAATCACCTAACACATCAAATGATCGAGGAAGAAGTCTCCCTCTCGGGTCCACCAAGTTCGGATACAAAGTAGTAATCAAGCCTGCTAATTGCGCTCTTACAGCAAAATCGCCACAAGGAAAAGAATATTTTGGTTCAAAGAATTCTGAAAATGAAATCATCTAAATATAGAAAGAAGTGAAAGCCTTACAGAAATTTAAATTTCAATTCTCACAAATATGCAAGGAACTAAAGAAAGAAGACTGGTCAACAGACCTATTATCATCAAAGAATTCAGTTAAGTTTTGAATCTCCACATACTCCAGACCTGCTTCTCTGCCCAGCCTGGGTAAACATACATGAAGATATGATAAGTCGACCAGTGAGAAAAATCAAGAATAAACCAATATAGCAAAAGGAAGGATTTCTCTTTTTCTTCATTAATCGCTATTTCTTTTTGAATAAGAAAAATGAAAGCTAAAGAGTTCATTCATAGTGTAACATTGACAACCCAAGGTCCCCCTACATGTTTGAAAAATCACCTTGAATCGGAACAAAAATTTAAGCTTCGATTTGGCTTTATCTATATTCCTGGAAATGGTGAGATAACATTCCATGCAATCAATAAGAAAAACCTAAAAACTGGTGTGCTAAGCCACTGGTTTTTTATTAAGCATTGGTACCTAAGCCGTCAACATGAGATAGGTACCTCTTATCATACTACAAAACCTTTAGTTCTTTAGTACCTAGTTTACTTAAGACAGAGCATAAACCTGATGAAGCTTGGGAAATGAACCAAGCAGTGGGTTTCAGGAGAGACATCATTAGCGAATTTCAGCTGGTATTTCTTCCCAAACAATGGAAACCTGGAAAAATATAAGATGCACAGGTGGAAGAAATTGATAAGTCTCACCAACTAAAGAAGAATAAGAAGTGTGTGGCAATGCCAAGTACTCATACATACTTTTCCTCCTCGACTTCAAAGGTGATCATGTAACTTTCTGACCGAATGCAATTGGGAACAATGTTCGGCTTCATACTGCTGCCCCTATTGTGGTATGCTTCCACATTCTTTTGGTACTTTGCCCTTTAATAAACAAGCACACATGTTCATTGCTCAATGGTTCAGTACAATGTTTGAACTGTGCTCAATTGCCGGATAACTAGAAGCAATGGCCAACTCAAACTGTATAGGGGGCATGTTTACCAAACCGTAATGGAACGAGATCATTGATTTTCTTTTTAATGTAGTGGTGTTTACTAATATATTAGGATGTGGACCAATTGAATTCCCTTTCTAGTGTTCACCAGACATACAAATAGGAATCTTCTCAATTTTACTAAAATGGCATTTACGTTGTAAACTTATCAAGGGTATACAAGTAAATTTGGTATTCATTCCCATTGATCACGAATTAATACTAACAGGCTGCTCAAATTAACATTCCCTTTCCTCACTTCCTATATTGTGTGGGGCCACCAAGCTACCACTCTTGATTTTCATAAGTAAACACATGATCAAATGGAAAAGAGAAACACTCCTCTTTTTCCCTTTCTTTCATACAAAGTATCACGATCAGAATGCTTAACATACAGTAAACACTTTTCCTCTTCCCTTTCCCTATCATATAGTAAAAGGTAAAAGGAAGGCGCTAGCGCCAAAGTCGAGAGTAACGTAATTAACTATAAAAACGAAGTAAAATAGCTGGTTTTGACAAGTATATTTTCATACCATATTGTAGACGAGTCAGGAGTAATACCAAAAAAATAACCCCCTGGTTTCAACAAAGATGAAACATTATGAAGAAGCCTCCTTGCTCTCTCCTCAGTTTGGAAACAGAGCTGTAATTGAAAATTGAATTGCAAATCAAATTCTGAAATAAAAAAAGAAAAGCTACATCTTTGCATGAAAGGATTGGACAAGCTGTAACGGAAAATGGAAATATATATATACCTGCAAGTGTTGCAAGCAGCAAACAAAATCACCAGAATTGCTCTTCTCCTCCTTCAAATGGGTTTCTATGCTTTCCTGCCAAATAAATACACACTGAAGTCAAACTATAAAGCCAACATTTCTAAATCAGTCCAGAGTCTGGAGCTTATAACATTTTTCATACAAACTTGTAACGTTTTGCTATAACATGGCAACAATGAAGCAACTTTAATGTAATATGGCGATGGCCTACATTTTTATTAAGTATTACACGTAAACAAAATGAGAATTACACAAAAATACATAACGATGTTATAATGATGAACAACAAAATATAACATACGGCCGCCGGACTGGATACGTTGCCTATATTTATATCATATGCTTACCATGCAAGGGTCAACCTCAAAGAACTCAGCAGTGTAAACCTTCCTCTGGCTCTCCCATGCTTCTCTTCTTTGGCTAATACCAGACGACGAAACATCTATACCCACCAACCAATCAAATACCCAAAATACATACATATTATGTATAATATATATATATATATATATATATATATATTGCTCAGTAACAAATGAAATGATAAGAAATAACAAATTTTTGTACCAATTCCAATGTAGTGGCCAATTTGGGCTTCGTCCCATTTATCTGCGTCCACTCCTCCTCCGCAATACAAATCACACACCTTTGCAGACGCCACACAAAAAACCCATTATTTACAAACAAGTCTAGAGAGAGAAAGAGAGAAATGAAGAGAGAGACAGAGAGAGAGAGGCACGTACAGTGGCGTAGGGATGGACAAAGATCTTGACGAGGGCAGATTTGGCGAACTCGTAGAGACGATAGTGAGTGGACTCGGTGCGTGGACCCGTCGAGTGACTCATCTGAGTCGCCGATAACTCGGTTAGTTACTCTCTCTCGATTTTCTGGAAGCAACTTTTGCAGAAGAAACCAGCGAGCTTAATAGCTTCGTGAAAGAGGCACGACTGGGCCTGGGCTTGCCCGACTTCTCGGCCAGGCCCAATTCCCATCAGGCCCATAACTTCACAGATGCATTGTTTGCGGTGGCGAGACGGAGAAGAGCAGAGCAGAAGCAGAGAAATGAGCCCACCGAAGGAGGAGACGCTGGTGGAAGCGGCGCTGCGAGTTCTCAACACAGCCGACCCCTTCGAGAAGGCTCGGCTCGGCGAGTCCGTCGCTTCTCGATGGCTCGAAGGAGCCATTGCTCGCCCCTACGACCCTTCAGTGGACCTTCCCGTTCCCGATCGCCCCGCCAGGCTCTCCGACGTACAATTTTTTTTTTGTATGACAAATGGTTGCCCACGTGTTGTTTGATGAAATGCCTGAACGGGTCTTGTTGTGTTTTTGTTTTTCAGGTTAAGTTGGTGTCGCCGAGTCTTATGCCGAAGCTTGGGAAAGCTGGGAGCTTGCAGAGCAGACGGGCCATTGTTCATAGCCTTGCCCACACAGAAAGCTGGGCTATTGACTTGTCTTGGGTAATCTTTCTATATTTTTTCATTCATTCAAATATACATGTATATATGTACGTACGTATGTATTTATGTATGTATGTATAATACCATCTTTCACTTGGCAGTAGAGAGTCAACAACTTGCTTTTCGAATTGTGTTATAAAACTGTATTTCGGAAAATGCTTATGAAAGTGTCAATCACTCAATGCCAATGCAATATTTGGTTTTGGAAAAAAAAAATGTAAAAAATGACATTTTATATGTTATTCTTCTTCAATGCATAATGTTCTTTCAAATGCTATATGTATTTGGTTCTCATAATTATTAAGGTTTAGAACTTGTAAAATTTAACTTTTTTATTTTTAAATAATCTGAAAATTTCAATGTTGTACGTGTTGAATGAAAAGGTCTAATATATGAACCAATAACAAGCAAATATTAAAAATTTGGCACTTGATAGCTATTTTGTAACTAAGTATATTGTCAAATTTAACACCAAAAATAGCACCGCATTATGAGTAAATTTCCTGCCTAAATGCCATAATTTAGCATCAACACACTAATTGGCACCGCTTTGGAGATGCTCTAAGTTTTTTTGCACTGTTTGCTTTCTACTATTAATATGAAAGATGGGGAAAAAAACAGTTGTAGAGATGCTTGCAGCCTTGCACCATTGAATTTGTTTGGGGGCTTGGCTTTTTCATTACACTTGTGTTTCCTTTTGTAGGATATTATTGCTCGTTTTGGCAAGCAAGAGGCAATGCCGAGAGAGTTTTTCACCGATTTTGTCAAGGTAGCTCAGGATGAAGGCCGGCATTTTACCCTCCTCGCAGCAAGGCTCAAAGAGCTGGGCTCTCACTATGGAGCTTTGCCAGCTCATGACGGCCTTTGGGACTCTGCCATTGCCACTTCGAAGGATCTTCTCGCACGTCTAGCTGTCGAGCATTGCGTCCATGAGGTGTGCTTCATCACTTTAAATGCTTACAGTCGTTGTTTTAACATTGCCTGTTTATCACATATCAGAGTTAACAAAGTTTAGGTAAATATTTGAATGCACATTTATAGTGTCTGTATTACTATTAGCAGATCCTCAGATGATTGAAACTTTTTGAAATACCAGAAAATCAAGAAGGAATAGTTTCCTTAGCTAGAATTTAGATTCCTATAGTCTTGAGCATGAGCGTTTGAATAGTTTCTTTAGTTAGCGTATAGTAGTGTCAACATGAGATTTTTTTAGCACGATTGTTGCGTAGATAAACTTGCAATCTAAAGGTGGTTTTGGTGAAAATTTGAGCCAAATTTTTACTTTTAATTCGAGTATTCCGCATGCATGTGTTCTTTCGCCTTTGGCAGGTAGTCAATGTCAACAATCTTCCAAGTCGCTAAATAAATTTGAATGATTGGGACAATGACTACACTAAGTTTACGGATTTGGTGAAATGATTTCATTTCAGAGTTAGATGTTTTCCTACATTTAGTGGTGAAAACTAAAAATTTTCCTATTTCAAAAGAAAAATTGGGAATTTCCTTCCCACGATGAATGTCATGGGCTTCTGAGTTTTGCAATGAATACTAAAATATTCCTTTTAGATCCATGATGCCCGAGAAGGCTTATCTTTCATTATTTTTATTATTATTTTGGGGTGAAAAGGTGATGCGGTGATACATCCTTTATGTATTCAGTAATATTCTTCGGTGGATGTAGTTTTCATTTTTCTTTATCTTCTGGGATTTGATAAACACAGGCAAGAGGGCTTGATGTTTTGCCCACAACCATCAGTCGTTTTCGCAATGGAGGCGATGACAAAACAGCTGATCTACTTGAGAGGGTGGTTTACCCCGAAGAGATTACCCATTGCGCTGCAGGCGTAAAATGGTTCAAGTATCTCTGCTTGAGGCCTTCGGTTCCTGCTTCACTAACGGATAGTTTGGCATCTGAAGAGGGTGAGGAAGAAAGTGAAGCTAAAGAGGAGGAAACTGAAGAAGTAACAAAGAAGTTCCATGATATTGTAAGAACACACTTCAGGGGACCGTTGAAGCCGCCTTTCAATGAAGAGGCGAGAAAAGCTGCTGGGTTTGGCCCTCAGTGGTATCAACCACTGGCTTTCAAAGAGACCACCCTCCAATGACCCCCTCGCTGGCCTACCAAGAAAAATCAATTACTGCTTCAGCCTATTTGTTTGTTTGTTTTGTATTGTCATTTTTATATATAATGCATAATATTTCAGCTTTGTCACGTTGGTGTTTGGTTCAAGGGTTCATGTGATTTAAACCCATGAGCCAAGTTCAAAATGGTGTTTGGATTGGCAAATTGGAGATGGAGTTTTTGAATCTTGCCGTGATGTTTGGACCAATCAAAACCACCAATTTTAGAACTTGTACCTCACAAATTCAAGTAGTCCCAACCATCTTCTACAGTGGCTTTCAAACCACACTTTTGAGATTTTATAGTCCAAAAAAAGAAATTTTGATCCAAATGGATTTTATACGCGATGTGCAATTATTCTTACGAGCCGAATCCGGTTCCACTATCTTTTGTTAAGTTGGTTTGTTCTATGAGTTGGTTTGAGCAAAGGATTGTTGGGCTTGATAAGGAGAATGTAGTAAATAGTATATTTTTAAAATTAAATTAAATAAATAGTATATTTTAAAATTATAAAATAAGTAACAGTTTATGTGGTAAATGAATCATTTACCGTGTAAATGGTTCGTTTACATTTAGTAAAAATATTTTTTTTCTTGTAAATTTTCTTTTTACGATTAGTAAAAAGATTTTTTAAGATTTTTTATCACGCAAATTATTTTTTACCGATTGTAAATGAATCATTTACTACTTAAATTGGTATTTATTTTAAATAGTTTTAAAATCTTTTAAAAATCTACTATTTACTATAATTGGTTTTTTTTTTCCTCTTATGTATCCTCGTGTTAATTAAAGCACATCTGGTTGACCGGTTCATATAAATCAGGCAGGATACCATTTTTTGAAGTCTAGTTATTCAACAATACAAAAGTATGTGTAAACAAGCCTTGAAATTTACACATAAGTGGTATATTGGTATTATCGATTCTCAAAAAAAAAAAAAAAAATGGTATTCTCTTTAGTTTTCCCAGACAAAGTTGCATCTGCAAATACTTAGGTGAAAGTTATTAGAATGATGCACTCAGCAGAAATCTCCATAACCGTCACTGTCTGTCATATTCAAGAAATTCTAAGATTTAATTATCACTGTCTTCATATTTGTGGATATATACATATATAATATGTATGTATGTAGATATAGTACGCTATCAATACTTCATATTCTGAGCTGGGGATAGTGGGAAACAGAAGATATTGAACGAGAAGGAATTTTATTAAAAGAGGTATTGGTATTTTCTCAGCCACCTTGTACATCCTCTCTCCCTTATTTGAAGGGAGAAAACGCTTGGAATGAAGTTGTCAAAATTTTGCAACAATTGACATGTTAATGATTTTGCCATCAAGGAAGTATGATTTGATGCACCAACAATAATTTAGTAACAAGATGGCACAACAAAAGCAAACATTGAAGCAATGAAAAAAACACAAAAAACAAAAACAAACAAAAAAACACGACGACTCCGAAATTTTGAGTTGGGTTCTCAAGCAAGCTCCCGTTATTGCTACCTGGCAATGTTAAAATTAATTTGAGGCTCTTCTTAACGTTGTTACAAAAGAAGTCTTCGGATGTCGCCGAAGTTTGAACATAAAGCTGAGAGGAATGCACCTGTGAAATAAGATTGGAATATTCCCATTAGCAAGTAGTCAAAAAATATCAACATTTTCAACACCACAATGGCCAGTTAGCGTCCGCAACGCGGCTGACTAAATCAAAACTGAATGTGATTAATCTTATAAAGACACCAAAACCACAAGTGCTAAACATCCAAATATACAGCGTATCAAACTTGGAAGTTCAAACTAGAGACTCTACTTCCGAGGGAAAAAAAATAAAAATAAAAATAAAAGGAATTAAAAACTAAATACTGTAGCATTAAGTACCTCCAACTTTGCCATCAAAAACACGGTGATCAGCAGACAGCGTCAAGTTCATTTTGGTGACAGCTGCAGCTCTCTCAACTCCTACGGGAAAAACAGAAAGAAAAGTCGCGGTATATAGTACAATCCTCAAGGCACCAAATATCTGATAGCAAACAATACGAAACGAATATCTTCATCTTACCATCACTTCCAACAACTGGCTCAACAACTTTGTTGCCTCTGCCAACAGCAAGGATACCAGCCTGCAAAAGTAACACCAAATATCTCGTTGGTGTTGAACTAAACAAGAGGTAGCAGGGGATAGACACATGCTACGGTACACAAAATGGAGCGTGGGGAAGAACCTGTGGCGGGTTTATAATCGCACAAAAGTTGTCCACTGGAAACATTCCTAAGTTTGAAATGCTGCATAAAGATTGAGAGATTTATAGTTATCGCTTTAAAGGAAAGAGACAGGTATAGGGATTGAAGCAAAAACTAAAAGAAAATTAAGAACTTTCAAAATTCACCTGAAAGTTCCCCCTTGGAATTCATCTGGTTTAAGCTTTCCTGTCCGCGCCTTCTCAGCTAATTCCTTGACCTGAGTAAAAATGTTTAAAAAAAAATGACTATGAAGTATAAATATAAGCTCCCGATAAAAGTGTCCATATAATGAAACAGATAACATGAATGTCCAACTAATTCCTATCATTTCACACCCTCGAGATTTCTTTTAACTCTTAATTGACAGGTGAAAATTCATACCAAACAAAGTACATAGCTTAAATGATGCATGCCTCACATTGTACAACATTTTTTTAGCCCCAAGTAAGAAAAGAGACGGAAAGAAAGAACAAGACAGCAACATTCTATAACAACAAAATTAAAGGCGCGGCAGCAGAGTACCTCTGAGGAGATGGCTGATATACTCTTCTGGTCAGCATTTCTCACTATTGGAGTCATCAAACCCTGGAACATTATAATTATTACAGTGTGATTGGATATGGTATGAACTCTTAAGCTTAACTAAGAAGATCAGCATTACCTTCTCGGTAGCCACTGCAATTGATATATCAACAGAGTCACATGGAATGACCTCTCCTTTCTCAGCATCCCAGTAAGCTGCCATGTATCAAGTCAGAAAAGCCACTTTTAGAGCATGAAATAAAAATTGAAAGGGAGAGATAAAAACTGCATCAATTTGGCAAATGAGGATACAAATTGAAACGTGCCTTGAAGCTATTACCATTAGCTTCTGGTACATTTCTCAATGCGACAGCCACCGCTTTAATCACAATGTCATTCACTGAAACTTTAACATTATGCTGCTCTGCAGTGAGGAGACAATGAGAATAAATTATCCACCAAGCTCAAAGTATCTCAAGAAAAAGAATTGACAATGGGGATTATGTTCCATACCTTTAAGATCCTTTCGAAGCGAAAGAAGAGGATCCAGTGCAACCTCTGATAAACAAGAACAAGAGAAGTTTTATATACAGATTAGTTTATATCAACAACATAATAGAGCATAGAAGATCAATACCAGATGATAAATACAAGTGTGGTGTATTTTGTTTCGATTCCAACAGCCTTCTGGCAATCACCTGTAAAACAAATTACAATCTTACGACAACTTATGGAGCCTCTAATTTGAAATAAATGATTAATCGCACATATACGTTTTTAAAGTTTGAAGGCGGGCCTTGACACCGTGGTGGGAGCGCTTGCGTTTGCACCCGGGGTCCAAGGTTCGAATCCCAGAAACGGCCTCTCCTTCGGGGGGTAAGGCCGCGTACATATGGGATTAAGCTTTCTCTCGAGCCTGTCATAGTACGGGAGCCTCTTTGGCACTGGGGTCCGCCTTTTTTTCATACTTTTTTAAAGTTTACATCTTAACAATAAATTTATAATGTACAGAATTATAAATGAATACTAAGCTTTTGATTGAAAATGAACTATATGAATTCTGTAATCAAAATGAAGGAATATATATATATATATATATGAATAATATTCTAAACTTAAAGTGTCTTGCTTTGAGCTACCTGTCAGATGAGATGAAACCTACCTTCCTTATTTGACTGTTTGGAAAATCTTCAAATGAGTCTTCCTTCTTCAAGTGGGATTTTGTTCCTGTTGATGATGCTGGAGTGGTTTCTCGTTGGACTTGAGGAGATGGCTTTGCCTTTTCTTTAGACGAAGAAACTTTCGAAGATCCTATTCCTGACTTGATTGCACTTAAAACATCCCCTTTTAGTAATGTACCATGAGAGCCTGATGCCTTCAATGATGAAGTGTCCAATCCATGTTCTGTAATGAGTATCTTTGCAGATGGACTGATCCTTTTTACAGGGGCTTTCTGTGCTCCCGTTTCATTTTTAACATCAGGTTCAACCGGCTTCCCCTCCTCCTTAACTGCTGAGCCACTGGTTACAGCGTTTTTCACCGTTTCCAGATCAGCTGGATCCTCAACCTTGCAATAGCCAGCAGTGCATATTATTATTATTATTTTCCTTTTTTGAACTGAGTTTTCATATGAATTGAGTATACAATTACACTAACTGTCAAGGACAAGGGCAAGGATAAAGTTGCACAGATTAGCCATTTTACAAGGAATAAACTGACAGCAAGTGTATTTCTCTCCCGTCATTTTATGGTTGCTCCAAACAGCAATAGAAAAATTATACACTTACTGTTACTGCAATTGGTTGTCCCACCGGCACATCTTTTGAACCTTCGGGGGCTAGAATCTTAGCCAAGTACCTAATAACATTTACCCAAAAAAGTCATTATTATCCTCTTAAAATGTTACGCTGAAAATAAGTAAACTCTTCTATCAAATTTTCTTCTAAAAATGATTTTAAGAAATCAGTCGCTAGGATTAGAATCTAACATCTAAAATTAGACTCCCAAGAGGGAAGGTTCCCATACATATAGACCAAGAGGATGAGAGAACGTGCAAAAACATTTGCTTTTCCTAGTGTCATCTATTTATAGGAGATGCTTACATGACAACTTGTACTAATTAAGCACGTTCAATTTTTTTTTTTTTTTTTTCTGATATGGTGTGGGGCCTTTGGCTCCCACTTTACACAAGAAATGAAACCTCCAGAAATCGAACCCTGGCAGATACAGGCACACACTTACGCACCCAAACTACTTGAGCTAGCCTCAAGTGGCAATTAAGCACGTTCAGTACAACACTGTCTTCAAGACGTTGGAAATATGTCAATATGACACATTCTTCATAAGACCACGGTCCACATATTCTTGGACATGAAGCAAAAAACTATAAAGACGGTAACATAGAGTCATAGACTATACACGAATGGAAAGATTTGGTGAATATACTAGTTAGTATAACTAATAAAAGCCTAAGTTAAAATCCAGCGTAAGGAAACAACATTACCCTTCTTCAAGACTTTCAAATTCAAGGGTGGCCTTATCAGTCTCTATCTCACATATCACATCACCCACCTCAATCTGTTTAATTAAGTACATTAAAAAAGAGGGGGGGGGGGGGGAGAAAGAAAGAAAGAAAGTCACATTGATGCAGACAACAGTTGACTTGTCCAGATAGAAAAGTCAGAATAAGTGATAAAGTCAAAACATCAGATTAAGCATAACTAACCTTGTCTCCTTCTTTCTTTCTCCATGTAGCAATGTTCCCTTGGTTCTGTACAGAAAACAAGAGCCTTCAGCTTCTATCAAAGGAAAAGAAAATTCAATATGAGAAAAGCAGAAAGTTCGATTTGTACCATTGTTGGGGATAAAGCTGGCATTTCAAGAATAATATGCGGAGGAAGATCAGATGTATTTATATTTACAGTACTTGTTTCTTGTGCCCTGTCCTCACTTTTGGCATCCTGATTTGATGATGACGTCTCCCCTTTAACCTCGGATCCTCCCGCAGCTGCAGAAGCAGGCACATTTTGGATATCATCTTCATCTTCAACCTTGTAAAATACACATAAGTTAGTGTTTACAAAAACTAAATGCTTGAGTGGTAATTAGTAAGTTCTATACTAACATGATTAAAAGGTTGCTCATAATGCTAACAACTCTTCCAATAAATGACGGAAAAATAATTAATAAAGGAAAAATGGGTATGGGACTCACCAAAAGCAACAAAAAAATCAGTGGTTAAAGGTTTATCACACATTACCATTATTGCAATAGGTTGTCCCACAGGCACATCCTTTGAACCTTCAGGTACCAATATCTTAGCCAGAAACCTGACAATTTATCCAATTAAGACTATCAAAATTAGTTCACAAAGGATTTTGATTAATTTGTTTGCTTTGAAACTTTGAAAATTTAACATGGTAGAGGGGAAAAGGTATGGTAATAGATGTTTGGTAGAAAAACCAAAGAAAAACCAAAAAAACAAAACAAAAAAACAAAAAAAAACAAAAAACAAAAAAACAAAAAACAAAACAAAAAACCAAAAAAAAAAAAACCGAAAAAGAAAAAAAAACAAAAATCTTTTTTTTTTTTTTTTCCTGGCAAGCAAAGCATATCTGTGGCAACGTGTGTTACTGGGTACTCCAATCCAATAGTAAATGCATCAACTGTCATGCATGCTATCAAATGTCCCTCACCCTTCTTCAAGACTTTCAAACTCAAGAGTAGCTTTGTCAGTTTCAATTTCACATAGTATATCGCCGACTTCAATCTGTTAAATCAAAACCAATAATCAGGAAAATAGATATCAACAGATCAGATGGATGTAGAAGTCGCTGTTTTATCCAGAAAATGCATGTTTTTATATCTCATAGAAAATTTTCATCCTATGAAAATATTATACGAGTGATCCAAGGATATGACATCCTCAGATATAACACAGATAAACCTCAAGAAAACATAAAATCTAATGAATTCCGATGTGGTATAAAGCTAACCCTGTCTCCTTCTTTCTTCCTCCATTTTGCAATGTTTCCTTGATTCTGCAAAAGAGTAACAAGAAAGCAACTAAACTTATTGGAGCCAAAACAGAAGGATGAAGAAGAAAACTGAAGATTTTCAACATAATGTCTATAACCACCTCCTTACCATTGTAGGAGACAAGGCTGGCATCCCAAGAACTTGATGAGAAGGATCTGTATAAGCAATTAAATTTCTAGTGACATTTGGAACAACATAAAGCATAACAAGCATAACTGAGTGTTTGCTACAATTAAGTCAAAGGAGATAATATCGCTAAATGGTTAAAGAATAAAATTGAGACGCAGTTTCCATCCGTGCTTTTACAGTAGATGAGACCATTAGCTTTGTGGCTTAAAGGATTATACTTTCTTAGTTTCTTTCTTCCTTCATATTCTTGTTTTATCAGATCAATCAAAATTTAGTTCAAGAAGATGTTATCACTAAATGGATAAGCCATACCTGAAGTTGAGAAGTAGTTGACACCAGTCCATGGCTGAAAATGTTCACGGGTCAGAGAAGAACCTTATGTAGAAATAGTTTTAAATCTCTATAGGTTAATGTGCTAACCTTGAAATCCAAAGATTTATTCCGAACTCTACCAAGAATGGGCAAAGACGAGGGCCTGATCAATCTCACTATTAATAAACTTCCCGAAAAAGGTAACAATTAAAAAAAATAAGAAATGTACTAATGTAAAGCTACAGGTGGTTCTGAGGATGACAAACCTACAGGTGGTTTTGGTTCAAGTTTCAACACTAATCTCTCTAATCCAAATCAAAATTGCTCTTTCTAGTCATAAAACAAAATTCTTAAACTTTAATAAGAAAAACTAATTAATAAAGATTTCATCCCGACTTATCATGAAAGTTCAAAGAAATCTTGCCACGGTGAACTCTCCGGCATTGGAAGTAGGTAAAACAATCAAATTGTAGTTTGGAACAGCAGACAAATGGAAACTGATAAATACAAACCTTCGCACAGTGTCCTTATCATGCACAACATAGTTTGGTGCACTGTAACTGCCACATCATAAAGAAAAATTGTCAAAAGTTATCAACTTGGCCATGCAGCTCTATAAGATGAAGGTCTATAATTCAATCAAGCATTAATTTAACAGTATTAAGTTCAATTATCATAGATGTAAGGTCAGCATCATAAATTTGAGGAGCTGAGAATATGAAAGGATCAATTAATTCTTTTTGTTGAGCCCAAAAGAATTCTCCATAGGGGATTGCCCTAGAGTTGGACTAAATTTTATGCGCTCTCTGAGCATGCGTGTTGTTGTCATAAAAAGGGTGGATTTCTATATTTAAGGACATGTATTATAGTAGCGACCATACAGGTTTCTAAGTGTACTTGATTATTTAGTTTTCTTACCTAGTATTTAAAATTGAAAGCTTGGTTCATCACCTTTTATTTTGTCCTAAATAAGAATTCAAAAGTTTATCGATGACCTATATGTTGGAATATTTATATGGACTAGCACAAATCATTGTTAATTCACTCAAATATGTCACAAATTAGAGCATGGCTTTATGGACAATTATATATTGTAATATGGTTTATGCATGGTATTATAACAAGGGCCATAATGGGATGGACAATTTTATCACTAATGTGCTTGGGGCCTTTGGACTCACTCTCTCTAAATATTTGGTCAGCCCATTGGGCTAAATTTCCTCTCTCTATCTCAACCTTCTCGTTAAGGCCCATTTTTTGATTAAGGGGCAGACAAAAGAAATAAACAAGGGGGATTTGGTTTTTAACCCCGTGGGTGTGTGTGCATGTGGGTGGGGGTCTGCGTGAGTGTGGAGAGAGGACGAGAAGAGAAGAGTTCAAAAATCCCTCCAAGCTTCCTTTGGTTTTCTCAGATCGGATTCCGGCCAAAATGACTGACGTCGTTCCGTTGCCGGCAACAGGAGGTAATTCAAAAACCATCAATTTTTCTATATGCTGCAAGATCCGATAGTGTGTTGTTGGATTCAATGGTTCAATTAGTTTTTAATCTCATTTACAAGTATTAAGAACCTATTATTTCTAGCAAATGGTATCAGAGCAAACTTATTGGATTTGAAGCTGTAGTTTTTTTCGTTTCTGTGAGTTTGCTGCACGTCCATGTTCTTCATGGGGTTTTCTATTTTTATGGCTCTTTGAGTGAAATTGATGGTTGAAAGCTAAAGAGAATGAAATTTGGAGCAAAGCCCATCCAAAAACATCAAAATGGACAACCAGAACTCACTTTTCCAGCGGGTCGGGTCACGGATCCGATCGGACCCGATTTGCAAAGTTTCAGAGGTTAGGAAAGATAAAAACGACATGTCGTTTTTCCATCCATGTGAAAAACGACATGTCGTTTGCAAGGTTCACTGGGGCTGTCTCGATAGTGAAACGACATGTCGTTTCCATATGCCCTAAAACGACATGTCGTTTGCAAGGCAGATTGGGGCTATCCTGCTAGTGAAACGACATGTCGTTTCCCACATGCCCCAAAACGACATGTCGTTTCTGCGGACAAAAAAAAAAGCGCGTGAGGTCTCGTGGAATGTCCGATTTATGCCCTCTTTTCACTGTTTTGCTTCAAATTTCATTTACTAATTGTCCATACTATTTATTTGACGTTATAACCACACAAAGACCATACTTATGGATACTTTGTATTGTTTGAACAAATTTTTTTGTGGTTAATTCTCACATTGATCAAATATCATTTTCCTGGGCTTCTCTATGCTGGTTTGTTTTGATATTTGAATGCCATTAATTTGTCATCTTATTTGCTAAATTAAAACGGCATGTTAAATTGTGACAAAATGACTATCTTGAATGTTCATGTACTTGCCTATCGTAAGTCGGAACATGTCAAATAGTTTTACATTTTCAAATTGTTCATTTCTCCCACAACTAAACCTATAATACTAAGATCCATACGGGTGATAAAATTGTCATGTCAATAATTTTATTACTTGGTAAGATGCTTAGATTGGTGATGGGATTTTATTGAGCATCATGAACCGCATGATCTGTACCATCCTATCGCTGGTTGGATTAATGCATTTGGTTGTGGTGATTGGTAAAATGTCCTTACCTGCGAATGAGTCCTATTTTGCTCAAAAGGACTCTAGCATGTGATGATTATATTGTTTAAGATCATTGATAAGGCTAAGAAATGGGCAAATAACATGATATTGTTTCACATGCCTAATGTTGGATGCCCCTTTTGTTTTCTTCAGCCTTGAGCAGTCCTCAAATATCTGCAATTATGATGCTAAACGGGACAAACTATAAACAATGGATTGACTCTCTAATGATGAACTTGACCATCATGAGATTAGATATGGCTTTGAGGGAAACTAAACCTCCCCAACCCACGGATATGAGCTCTGCAGATGAAAAGAAACTCTATGATGATTGGGTTCATTCTGATAGGTGTTGTATGATGATCATGAGGTATCACATGGAAGCGTCTATTCGTGATAGCATTCCTATGGTTACCACTGCCAAGGAGTTTTTGGATGCCATTAAAAGGAAGTATATCAAGTTCTCGAAGAACGAGAAAAATGAGTATTTAAACATTCTCCATTCCACTTTCTACGATGGTGTTAGTGGAATTAGAAACCACATTGATAAGATCATGTCATGCTATCAAAGGCTCAAGGAGATTGGCATGGATCTTGGTGAGGATCATATTGTGTGGCTTGTCATGAGGACTCTCCCATCCCAGTTTGATACGATTAGGTCGAAGTACAATGCGCAAAAGGAACAATGGGCCGTGGATGAAATGACCGCTATTCTTACTGAGAAATTAAGAATGGTAAAGCAAAAAGCGTCTCATTGGTAACGGACTAAGAGAATGTCGGGCAGAAGAGGAAGTTCCCTTCGAAGAACCCTAGTAGCAACAAACACCCTAAGAAGAAGGGTGCTAATGCCAAGCCAGGTGGCCACAGCAATAATCCATCTTCCACTGGTTCTAAGAAAGATGGTTTCAAACGGAAATGCAACTTCTACCGCTTTTTTGGACATAAGGCAGATTGTCGCAAGTTTAAAGCTTGGCTAGAGCAGAAGAAAGGTAATTTAGTACAAGTCTGTCTTGAATCAAATATTATTGATGTGCCTTCCTGGCTTGGAATTAATGCCCTTCTTCTTAGGGTGTTTGTTGCTACTAGGGTTCTTCGAAGGGAACTTCCTCTTTTGCCCGACCTTTTCTTGGTCCGTTACCAATGAGATGCTTTTTGCTTTACCATTCTTAATGTCACCCTCTTCCTTAGCAATAATAGCAGTCATTTCATCCACAGCCCACTGCTCCTTCTGCGCATTGTACCTCGACCTGATCGTATCAAATTGGGATGGGAGAGCCCTCATGACAAGCCACACGATATAATCCTCACCAAGATCCATGCCAATCTCCTTAAGCCTTTGATAGCATGATATGATCTTATCAATGTGGTTTCTAATTCCACTAACATCATCGTAGAAAGTGGAATGGAGAATGTTTAAATACTCATTTTTCTTGTTCTTCAAGAACTTGGTATACTTCCTTTTAATGGCATCTAAAAACTCCTTGGCAGTAGTAACCCTAGGAATGCTATCACGAATAGACGCTTTCATATGATACCTCATGATCATCATACAACACCTATCAGAATAACCCAATCATCATAGTTTCTTTTCATCTGCAGAGCTCTTATCCGTGGGTTGGGGAGGTTTAGTCTCCCTCAAAGCCATATCCAATCTCATGATGGTCAAGTTCATCATTAGAGAGTCAATTCATTGTTTATAGTTTGTCCCGTTTAGCATCAGAATTGCAGAGATTTGAGGACTGCTCAAGGCTGAAGAAAACAAAAGGGGCATCCAACATTAGGCATGTGAAACAATATCATGCTATTTGCCCATTTCTTAGCCTTATCAATGATCTTAAATAATATGATCATCACATGCTAGAGTCTTTTTGAGCAAAATAGGACTCATTCACAGGTAAGGACAATTTACCAATCACCACAACCAAATGCATTAATCCAACTACCGATAGGATGATACAGATCATACGGTTCATGATGCTCAATAAAATCTCTTCACCAATCTAAGCATCCTACCAAGTAATAAAATTATCAACAGGACAATTTTATCACTAATATGCTTGGGGTCCTTGGACTCACACTCTCTAAATATTTGGTTATCCCATTGGGCCAAATTTCCTCTCTATCTCAACCTTCTCGTTAACGCCCAAAAAGGCCCATTTTTTTATTAAGGGACAGACAAAAGAAATAAACAAGGGGGATTTGGTTTTTGACCCCGTGGATGTGTGTGCATGTGGGTGGAGGTTTGCGTGAGTGTGGAGAGAGGACGAGAAGAGATGAGTTCAAAAACCCCTCCAAGCTTCCTTTGGTTTTCTCATATCGGATTCCGGCCAAAATGACTGACGTCGTTCCGTTGTTGGCAGCAGGAGGTAATTCAAAAACCATCAATTTTTTTATATGCTTCAAGATCCGATAGTGTGTTTTTGGATTCAATGGTTCAATTAGTTTTTAAACTCATTTACAAGTATTAAGAACCTATTATTTCTAGCAAATGGTATCAGAGCAAATGGTAAAACAAGGAGCGTCTCATTGGTAACGGACCAAGAGAAGGTCGGGCAAAAAAAGGGGAAGTTCCCTTCGAAGAGCCCTGGTAGCAACAAACACCCTAAGAAGAAGGGTGCTAATGCCAAGCCAAGTGGGCACAACAATAATCCATCTTCCTCTGGTTCTAAGAAAGATGGTTTCAATGGGAAATGCAACTTCTGTCGCTTTTTTTGACATAAGAAGGCAGATTGTCGCAAGTTTAAAGCTTGGCTAGAGCGGAAGAAAGGTAATTTGGTACAAGTCTGTCTTGAATCAAATATTATTGATATGCCTTCAAATTCTTGGTGGTTAGACATACGTGCTACAATTCATTTAACTAATTCATTGCAGGCAATGATAAGCAGAAGGAGTCCAACTAATGTAGAGCAACATGTGTACATGGGAGATGGTACAAGAGTCAAAATTGATTTTTTGATAATAGTCAAACTACATGACATTTTTTGGAGTTACATGATGTAGCATACATACTCTCGATTAGGAGGAATTTGAAATCTGTATCTATTTTGAATAACTGTGGATATAGTTTTCTTTTTGGAAATGGAAAATTAGACTTGTACCATAACTCAATTTTGATTGGAAATGGAACTTTGTGTGGTAATTTGTATAAGCTTGTGTTAAATGATGCCTCTAGTACTGTTACTTCCTCTCTTAATACTATTGTCGATTCCAAATGTCCTAGATTTAATGATAAGTCTTCCATGTTGCGGCATAGGTGTTTGGGTCATATTTCGAGACAAAGGATGAAGAGAATGATAAGGGATGGCATTTTGCATGATCTTGATTTTTCTGACTTTTCTACATGTGTTGATTGCATCAAAGGAAAGTTGACTGCCAAGGTTAGAAAGAGTAGATCTGATAGATGTGATGATACATTACAGTTGATCCATACTGATATATGTGGACCATTCATTCCCCCAACCATGGGTGGTTACAGGTATTTCATTACCTTCATTGATGACTTCTCCCGTTATGGTCATGTTGAGCTAATCCGGGAAAAGTCTGACTCATTAAAAGCTTTTAAAGCTTTCAAAGCTAATGTTGAACTTCAGAAGGGAAAGAGAATCAAATCAGTTAACTCTGATAGAGGTGGTGAATATTATGGCAGGTATGATGAAACTGGAAGGAATCCCGGACCGGACCTTTTGCCAGATTCTTGCAGGAATGTGGCATTAATGCTCAGTATACGATGCCAGGAACTCCTGAATAGAATGGGATTGCGGAGAGAAGAAATCGCACCCTTCTTGATATGGTGCGATGTATGTTGATTCATTCTACATTGCCGGAGTTTTTATGGGGTGAGGCCTTGAAGACAACAGCTTATATTTTGAATCAAGTGCCAAGTAAGTCTATTCCAAAGACATCCTATGAGTTATGGTCTGGTAAGAAGCCAAGCTTGCGGCATTTCCATGTATGGGGTTGTAAAGCCAAAGTGAGACCCTATAATCCGCAATCCAAGAAACTTGATCCGAAGACCATTAGTGGTTTCTTTGTTGGTTATTGTGTTGGATCAAGAGGTTTGAAGTTTTACTGCCCAAATCACACCACTAGAGTGATTGAGTCTGACAAAGCAGTCTATCTTGAGGATGATTCTTCTTCCAGTCAAGGACCAAGAGAGATCGTATTCAGGGAAGAACGTGTTATTGTCCCCATACCTGTGTTTAATGCTCCAGTGGCTGGTCCAGCGATTGATGCAGAACAAGATGTTACTCATGATGTACCCATGGATCAGGCAGTGCAGGAGATGCCAGATACAGATGGTGGTGATATTATTTTAAGGAGGTCATAGAGGGTTCGTAGACCTGCAGTCTCAGATGACTATATTGTTTATTTGCAGGAACATGAGTATGACATTAGTGGTGCTTCTAACCCAATCACTTATTAGGAAGCCATTAGTAGTTCTCAATCCTTATTCTGGATAGATGTCATGAAATAAGAGATGAGTTCTATGTCACAGAATGATGTGTGGGATTTAGTGGAATTGCCACAGGGTTGTAAACCCATTGGGTGCAAGTGGGTATTCAAGACCAAGTGTGACTCTGAAGGACGAGTGGAAAGGTTTAAAGCTAGGCTTGTCGCTAAGGGATTTAGTCAGAAAGAAGGTGATGATTATAAAGAAACCTTCTCACCAGTTTCCACTAAAGACTCATTCAGGATTATCATGGCAATTGTGGCTAATTTTGATTTAGAGCTTCATCAAATGGATGTGAGAACTGCGTTCTTGAATGGAGACTTGAATGAGGATTAAAGCAGACATCAAAGCAGTGGTATTTAAAGTTTGATCATATAGTCATTGTCAATGGTTTCAAGGAGAATGTTGTTGATCAGTGCATATATATGAAGGTCAATGGGAGCAGTTACATATTTCTGGTCTTGTATGTTGATGATATTCTGCTCGCTTCTAATGACACCGACCTGTTGTTTGAGACAAAGCAAATGCTATTTAGTCATTTTGATATGAAGGATCTTGGCCAAGCCTCTTATGTTTTGGGAATACAGATCCTTCGAGATAGGGCTAATCTCAGATTGTCTCAGAGAACTTACATTGATCGTTCTAAAGAGGTTCAACATGCACTCTTGTTCTTCTGGTAAGGCACCAATTGTTAAGGGTGATAAGTTTTCCAAGGCCCAATGTCCACAGAATGATAAAGAAATATATCATATGAAAGTTGTCCCGTATGCATCAATTGTTGGCAGCCTCATGTATGCTCAGGTATGCACGCAACCTGATATTGCATTTGTTGTGGGTGCGGTAGATACTTGAGTGATCCTAGACTAAGCCATTGGAAAGCGGCTAAGAAAGTCATGAGGTACCTTCAGGGTACCAAGGATTATATGTTGACATATAGGCGTTCCGACACTATTGATATTGTTGACTTTTGTGACGCCAATTATGCAGGCTGCGTGGATGACAAGAGATCCACTTCTTGATATATTTTTATGATGGCAGGCTGTCTCGTGAAAAAGTGTAAACAGACACTTACAACTTCCTGGACCATAGATGTAGAGTATGTGGCGTGTTATGAGGCTACTTGTCATGCAATATGGCTACGGAATTTCGTTTCAGCTTTGGGAGTTGTTGACTCAATTCATAGACCGCTGAAACTCTTTTGTGATAATTCCACAGCTGTATCTTTCTCTCACAATGCTAAGAGCACTTCTCGCTCCAAGCACATTGATGTCAAGTATTATTTTGTTAAAGAGAAAGTTGCAGAACACCTCATCGATATTGTATACACGCCTACCAATAACATGTTGGCGGACCCACTAACCAAAGGCTTACCTATATGTGTGTTTCAGGAGCACGTCTCTAATATGGGATTGTTAGGAGCCTAGAGTTGTATTGATTTAGTGGGAGTTCACCATGTGATGTATGAATGACAAGTTATTTTGTGACGACTGCTTATGTGTTATACATAATACATGCATATTATGGATCATTGTCACTTTGTTGTATGTTATGCACACATGTTTATATGCAAAATGATAAGTTGGTTGGAGACATTTGGTTTTAGTCTCGTTTTGTTATTGGATCCAGATAATTGTCATTGTGATGCTCTACGAATCTCGAAAGAATAATTGTGTATAATATTTGCATCCTGTCGATGCATTGTTATGCATAATTGTTTTATGCATTTGGCTCTTGTGTGAGATCTTTGTTTGTAGACATTTTGTATTGGGTGAATGTATGTTTGTCGTTTGATTTGTACTGTCCAAGTGGGAGAATGTTGGAATATTTATATGGACTAGCACAAATCATTGTTAATTCACTCAAATATGTGACAAATTAGAGCATGACTTTATGGAATATTATATATTGTAATATGGTTTATGCATGGTATTATAACAAGGGCCATAATGGGATGGACAATTTTATCACTAATGTACGTGGGGCCCTTGGACTCACTCTCTCTAGATATTTGGTCAGCCCATTGGGCCAAATTTCCTCTCTCTATCTCAACCTTCTCATTAAGGCCCATTTTTTGATTAAGGGGCAGACAAAAGAAATAAACAAGGGGAATTTTGTTTTTAACCCCGTGGGTGTGTGTGCATGTGGGTGGGGGTCTGCGTGAGTGTGGAAAGAGGACGAGAAGAGAAGAGTTCAAAAACCAATGCTATCACCCGCATGACTGACGTCATTCCGTTGCCGGCAGCAAGAGGTAATTCAAAAACCATCAATTTTTCTATATGCTTCAAGATCCGATAGTGTGTTGTTGGATTCAATGGTTCAATTAGTTTTTAATTTCATTTACAAGTATTAAGAACCTATTATTTCTAGCACTATATAGATGATCAAATACATTAAGAGTAGTCCATAAAAACCATATCTAAAGTTAAATTTTTTTCGAAAAAAAAAAAAAATCACACGCAGAGAAATAACCAATGCTATCACCCGCATTATGCTCAGGTTAGTTAAGTGCTAGCACATTCAGTAACTAATCCATTCACCAGCGCATGGAGATGCAAAAATGGTGCCTTCGGGATTTATTTTAGAGCCACAAGTATTATTTCGCACTCATTTCTAAGCATAAATCCGTTTCATAAAGAAATAAAAAGTGATTGACATATAATCCAGTAAACTTAAGTCTTAACTTCTATAGCAATTCTAGGAACATATAAGAGGTCATTTTTCCGACAACAAAAAAAAGGTGATTAAAACAAAAACCAACGAAAATAATTTCTCGAAACTACAAGCCTTCGGCTTGCCACACTGAGGTCAATGGAAGGTCTTGACCATGGTAGGATATAGAAGCAGTATGAAAGACTGCATTTTGGGATACAATCCAGTACATACATTACAAAATCAATAAATTGAACAAAACCCATTACTCATCTCTCTATCATGATTCATGAAGGCAAAACACACACATTCTGATACATAATCAAATACAAAATAGTAGCACAACAGAATTCCACTTGCAATAATAAGTTATACTCTAAAGTTTGAAAAATATTAACCTACTCCAAATAATTCCCACAAAACCCCAAAATTTCAAAACACTCGTCATTCCAAAATAAACTCGATCAAATCCAAATAAAATAAAATAAAACCCCAGAATCAGGCCACAACCCAAATCAGGACTATCAATGATAAACGAGCCCCACTTCGCAGAAATCAAAACAACGAATAAATTCTCGCCGAAATCACATGTTCAAGTAAAGGAAAGTTCTCAACTAAATTCGCCAAAAATAAATAAATAAAAGAGCGATAAAATGAAGTGGGAAAAGTACCGAGAGAAGGATCTGGAGGAAGACGATGAGAGAAGGCGAGCTCTTAGCAGAGAAGGAGCCCCAGAGATCACGGGCTGCCGAAGCCGCGAAAGCGCCATTTGTTTTTTATTCTTCTTCTTATTTTTCAGAGGGAGAAAATATATATATATATATATATATATATTTCTCTGCTATTATATATACTTTTGCAGAGAGAAACAGAGAGAAGAACAGTTCATAAGGAGCTGAGTTTAATGTGAAAATTTTCTTTTCTTTCGATTCGACTAATGTTTTTCTTTTTTTCTTTTTTCTTTTTTTCTTTTATGGGCCTGCCAGGTCTGACTTTTTGTAAAGAATGTCAGATCGTAATGTGGTAGAAACTTGAAACGGCGTCGTTTATATGTCTTTTTGAGTTTTTTTTGTGTATGTGTGTGTTAATAGAGAAAAATATGATTTTTTATGAAAATTTGTAATTCAAATCAATATAATAAACGTGTTTATTCACAACACCACCCAGCCCACTAAATCTTGGTCCGTTCACTTTGTTGATTCGAGTTTGTAATTTGAATTGAGATGTAATTTTATGTGAGAGCTTTTTACTGTAGTAAAAAAGTTAGATGTGATTGTTTGTGAGAGCTTTTTACTGTAGCAAAACTCGAATTCTAAACTCGAATTGGTGAAGTGAACGGAGCCAAAAAGTACTCATTGAATTCCAGAGGAATACGTGCGTTAACGTTTTTACTATTGTGGCATTATTTTTAATTTATTAAGAGGATGTTTGGTTGATGAATTTAGAATTATAATTCAGAATTATTCTCAGTTTACATGTGTTTTTTTATAAGAGAAAATATTATAACGAACTACGAACTATGATTCAAATCATGGCACGATTCTATCAACCAAACGCTCCCTAATACTAAAAGTAATAGTTAATCACTAAAAGTAAATATACAACTAATACAAATTTTTTTTTAAGTATCGCCATTAAAATAACAAAGATTATAAAAGGTAAAAAAATTAAAGAGGAACCCATCTGAAAAATATATTCTAATGAAAAGACTCCTTAAACAACCTATTTTAAAAAAATGAACGTTAAAAAAAGATTACATTGTAGGGAATCTTTTGACAAAGCGAAATAAAAAGTAAAAAAAGGTTAAGCATGGGCACTATATGAAAGAAATTATGTTAATACGAGCAAAGTAAGGAAAAATCACATTTTTAAATCACCTAACAAAAATAAATTAGAGAGTGTATGTACTAAAAGATAATAGTTGCAATTAAATAAGGCGAGAAAGGAAAATGCGCATTACAATAAAATTTTCTAAAATAAATAAGTTGGAATATAAAATCACAAAAAGAACTAAAATAAAAAAAAAATTTAGGACAATCAATAAAAAAAGGAGTCAAAAAATGACTAAAATGAAAAGTTAAATGTTTTAAGGTAAAAAAAAAAAAAAAAAAAAAAAAAAAAAAAAAAAAACCAACAAAAAAAAAAAAAAAAAAAACACAGAGGAACAACCCAACAGAAAAAAAAAATAAAGCTCTAGGGCAAAACGGAAAAAAGAAAAAAAAAAGCTTAAAAGGGACCAAATGAAGAAATAAATAAGTTTCTAAGCAAAAATAACAGAAGAATAAGGAGGGAGGGAAGTAAGGAGGGAGGGAAGTTTCTGAGCAAAAATAACAGAAGAATAGGGAGGGAGGGAGGGAGGGAGGGAGGGAGGAGGGAGGGAAGTTTCTGAGCAAAAATAACAGAAGAATAAGGTTCTGTTTGGTAGAGGGATTCGTTCCCTGATTCGAATCATGATTCGTGGTTCGCTACAGTATTTTCTCTCACAAAAAATACACATAAATAAAAAATAGTTTGAATCACATGGTTTGAATCCTCCAACCAAACGTCTCCTAAGAAGGGAAGGAGAGAGGGAGGGAGGGAGAGAGAGAGGGAGAAGGTTAAACGAAAAAAAGAAAAGTATAAAATAAGAACAAAAAATAGGGACCAAAAGATAAAAAAGTAAGACGAATAAGGACTAAAAGAAAAACAAGAAAGCAACAAAAAAACCAAAGAAAAAAGACACATACAAGGGGCACCAAAACAACTGTGTTTTAGTTCAAAATTTTCGACGGCGTTTTGGTTGAAGGGGGAAGTGCATATTGCGCTTTTTATATATAAAAAGATAATTATGAGTATGAATGAAAATTGGGGTTGTTAAGGTTTTGATTTACATATAATATCGACATAAATGTTGATATTGACGGATATTTTAGGAAAAAATAGATACCTTCAAAAATGTTAAAATATTTCTACTCGAACTATATAAAATGTTAAAACAATCAATATTACTTAAATTAAACTCATTTAATAATAAAAATAATATGTTTTTAATTAGAATATGAGAGTTATGTCAAATAGTATAATAGGAAACTATTATAATTATGTGGATTATGATTAAATATAATTTTACAACTCATTAGTCATTACAAATATGGTACAATAATTTAATATATTACATAAAAATTAACTATCAAATATAATAGAATACACAGATTTAAAGTGCTTTTAATATCAAAGCGAGTTTTTAGCAGGTTAAATAATATTAGGTAGGTTCTAATCTTGATCTAAAGTGAGTATATATAATAGATGAAAACGTGAATACTTCACGGTCATATTTTTAAAAAATAAAAGGCCAAAAATTAAATAATCACATGCTGGATGCTGCCTAGTTGTTAGTTGAGTAAAAATATTAATCTTTCGATATGAATCAATCATTTAAAAAGTAAAACTAATTTAAAAACTAATTAAATTTTAATATTTTGATTACTTTTGGTTTGAATCATATTGTCACATTTTAATTAAAAAAAGGAAAAATGTACAGCAAAATTGATTTTCTGCAAAAAAAAATCCCAATGTTTTTAAATATTTTTAAAAATATCCTAGATATTTACGGATATCTTTAGATATTACGGATATTTTATAGACACGCCAAGAATAATATTTTATCCATATTGAACTTCAAAATATAAACAATGTCGTGGACATTTGCATCCATGATTATAAGGAATGCCCAACAAAAATTTACATTTAGATTTATTTTAAGGTATTGGAGCTTTGAATTTGTGTGCATTAATCAAACGTCAACAAAATTTGTTTAACTGAAATTATCCCTTATAAAAAAAAATAATAATCTACTAAATTATCAATGGAAATTTGTAGTAATGTTTACGGATCGAATTGTGTGGATTAAGAGTCAATCTGCAATTTAATCTGTAACTATAAATAAAAAAAATTTCAATCTGTTACCAATATGTTAGACCTTCAATTCAATCCAATCCGTAACAGATTTTGCAAGGATTCGCTTATTAGCCTATGTTTTGGAGCTTGACTTTTGTAATTCATCTCTTTTTTTAATATTGTCATAAAATTAATAATAAAATTAAACATAAACATAACAGGGTTCTATTCTACTAAAAATTGAAATGGGTTTTGACCTAAAAAGTAAAATATTAGACATTGATTTGGGTTTGGGCTTTGTATTAAAACTGTCGTAGAACACAATATTCAGATTACATCATAATTACATATATACTTAATTACATATGTAGCATCCTCCTTTTAAAACAAAACTATTACAAGGATAATTGAAAATTTACACAATACTGCCAAATACACATTACATAAAAATTCGTACAAATTTAAACTTTTTGTTACATAATATACTTCATAAAATTTCACACCATGAATTCTTAAATAAACACTCATAATTATTAAAATAATATAATGGTACGTTTTAAAAACTTTCTCCTAACAGTTCGATTCCATATATACTAACACGTCAGCTTAGTACCTTACTTATCCTTTAGTTTAATTCAATGTTCTTTCTCCCTTTACCTACAAGTATAATTAAACTGACGAGCTAACGCTCAATAAGTAAAGTCATTATCCCACATGAAAGTTAAAAACTAATTATGCTCATGCTTTGCTTCATTTTTCTTCTCTTAGGGTCCTCAAGAATACTACGTGCAACATTTCAACATCTTTTATTGCTATTTGTTGGCTTAATAACTTCTATTGAGCTCTATGTTCACAATCTCTAAGAAATTAATTAGGCAGTATCTCCTGTTGTCTTATTAATAGACATTTAATTTTCTCCTAAATAAAGTAAGTGTAATACTTCAACATAATAAATATAAAAATACTTGATATTCCTTTGAATAAATGAAAAGTCATAACCATAACATAGTAAATATAATCGTACTGAAAATAACTTTCAAAATACTATATCTTGCGTTGTAGGTGAGAACTTTGCTGATACTCGCACGGACTATCTCGCTACACTACATAGCCCATGTGACCAACGGGGCTAATATTGATACTTGAATTTGTACCAGACTCATTAAGGGTCTAGGCCCAATCATTTGCGTCTCGCGACATTGTTGGGCTCATTTCATAGATTGAAGCCATGCTCGGGAAACTTCCATAGGTTGTGGTTTTGTGTGCCATGAGTGATCACATAGATCTATTTGTCCTTAATTTGACCCAATTTGAAATCCGCTTGGGAGTTTTACAGAATTAGTCAAATTAAGCGTGAATGGGTGATAGATGATTCAACCTAAGAAAGTCTTCCCTTATCTTTGGAAGCCCAAAAGTCTTTATTTCAATCTTTAAAAAGCCCTAAACCCAAGCTTGATCCTTGATTATGCCAGAACAGAATGCTGGAACTTGATTATGTGTTAAAATGGTCGTGTATTTATATGCTGGCTATATAAAATGCCTTGTTTGAAATTTTAGGGAAAACATTATTTTGGTACTCTATGTTTTTAGCTAGAAATTCATATTGGTATTTGTTGACGGTGTTTTTTTGATAACTCGTTATTATCTCTCCAGAAACACTCACAGTAACACTCACGGTTCGATTAGAGATTAAAAACTGAAAAAATAATGTAAAGGAGACAACGATTTTATAGTGGTTCGGCAATAACTCTTTGCCTAATCCACTTGTAAATGCACTAATATCTCAGCAGATTACAAGCTCTGTTAGAGTAATAAAATGGTGCGTAACCCCTTTTTGGGTTTTCTTGGCTCTATTTATAGGCCTTTACATGTGATCTTGGCTTCTCCGTTCCCAAGGAGAAAGCCATCTTCTGCCCT